GCCAGAGGCCGCACTGTGTGCAGCGGTAGGGTGTGCCTGCCTCGCGCTTCTGCGCGGTGCATTCTTTGCAGACGCGGTAGGTTTCCTGTTTCCATTGTGCTTTGGTGAACGCATCTTTGCGCTTCATCTCCCCACATTCGTGGCACGGCCTTTCATCCAGGTATTTCTTGCGCAACGCGTCCCAGTCCACCGGCTCCTGTTTCCACACATCAAGCAGAAGTTGCCGTCCGAGCGGCAGACCTGCTTGAAAAGGTGCCAGCGGGAACGGACGGTAGATCAAGATCTTCTGCCGTGTGCGGCTCCGCGTCATCCCAATGTACGCCGCTATTGGGTCAGCACCGACCATGTCAACGATCACGCCCGGCTCTATTGCGCTTCCTTGCGCACCGTAGAACGTGTCAGCGAAGTCGGGCGCGATGGGAAATTGGTACCGGGTGACTTTCAATTGTGGGTTGGTGCGGCCCGCGTCCAAAAACCACATTCCACTTTGCACGCTCACTGGGGAGACGTTCTCTTGATCGATGCCTGGGATAGTCCACCGTGTGCGTGTTTCAAAACGCACGAAGATATACTCGGGAAGTTTGTTCCAAATGACTGCTCCATCTGCCGATGCTGTTTCTGTTTCAATGCGAGACCACCCGCAGACTGTTCCATGGCACCCTTTCAAAATCTTGAACTCTTTTCGGTAGAGATGTTCTCGCGCTTGCACTGGCATACCAATGCACAGCGGAAGGACGCCGTACCAGTTGCCGCAGTCAGCGTCGCTGCGCTGTAGCCACGTGAGCTTGTCGTGGGCAATGTCGGGTTTCTCGTGCAAAGCGCGCGATGAAACTTTGTCCGTAGCCACTGCATAGTAGATGACCTGCCCGCGCTGTCGCGCCCATTGTTCCGCGCGCAATTTGTTTACGTGGCACTTCACCCCGTTCGTATGGAAAATTCCGCGGGCCAAGCTAAAACCCTCCGCAAACCGAGGATCGTCTGGATCCACTGCAACTAAACGCTTACTTTCTCGTTCGGCGCGGCAGCCTGCACATTCGTATTTGAGAATTGCTGCTGGCGTGGAACCGTTCTTGTACAAGCGATAGCATATATTTTCTCCACAAGTAGGCTGTTGCGTTCGTGCGCACCAGCTTCCCGGGACTCTTGTGGGTTGGCCGTGTAGGAATGCATGGTTGTCTTCGGATACGAAGACTGTACGCTGGAAGTTATATGAGTTTACAGAATTAGACGAGTTACAACATGTATATAACCCTTCTATAACATGTCTATAACCTGCTTGCAAGTATGTAAAGTGTCATAACATTTGATAAGTAATTTGTAAGTTTAGCTAGCCGGCTACGAGAAGTTGTAAATGTTTAGGTAAAATATAAATGGTTAATGAACTTATCGTAAGTATCTTAACTGCAAGTTTTTTTTTATAACTATGTTAACAGACTTAACATAAGTATCTAGGAAAAGTTATCATAAGTTATCTGAAAGTTAACAAAAGTTATAAAGTTATAAAAAGTTATAAAAAGTTACAAAAAGTTAGTATAAAGTTATATAAAGTTATATAAAGTTTAAAATATGTTTACAAGAGGGCAATGAAAATGTTTCTTTATTTTACATTTTTCGAGAGTTTCATTAAGTTTGTGACAAAGCTTGTCAACATTTATACAGGGTGAAAAAAAGGCATATTGCGTGTGCTGCCTGAGTTCTTTGGTTTGATCATTTTAGATTAAACTAAGTATCATATACAAGTACTTCCTGCAAGGGATATGGTCTGCAAAGATACTTCCTGAAAAGGACAGAGTCTGAAGTGATAGTTCCTGAAAGGGAAATAGTCTGGAATGACAGTTCCTGAGAAGGATCCGGTCTGAGAAGACAGTTCCTGAGAAGGATCCGGTCTGAGAAGACAGTTCCTGCAAAGGAAAGAGTCTGAAATGACAATTCCTGAGAAGGATCCGGTCTGAGAAGACAGTTTCTGAAAAGGATTAATTCTTCGATTTTCAACCTTTCCCCTATAAATGTCCCTAGATAGCTATAGTTCAGCTATAGTGCAGCTATAGTTCAGCTATAGTTCAGCTATAGTTCAGCTATAGTTCAGCTATAGTTCAGCTATAGTTCAGCTATAGTTCAGCTCTAGTTCAGCTATAGTTCAGCTATAGTTCAGCTATAGTTCAGCTATAGTTCAGCTATAGTTCAGCTATAGTTCAGCTATAGTTCAGCTATAGTTCAGCTATAGTTCAGCTATAGTTCAGCTATAGTTCAGCTATAGTTCCGCCATAGTTCCGCTATAGTTCCGCTATAGTTCCACTATAGTTCCGCTATAGTTCCGCTATAGTTCCGCTATAGTTCCACTATAGTTCCGCTATAGTTCCGCTATAGTTCCGCTATAGTTCCGCTATAGTTCCGCTATAGTTCCCCTATAGTTCCGCTATAGTTCCGCTATAGTTCCACTATAGTTCCGCTATAGTTCCGCTATAGTAGTTCTATAGCCGCTATAGTTCCGCTATAGTTCCACTATAGTTCCGCTATAGTTCCGCTATAGTTCCACTATAGTTCCGCTATAGTTCCGCTATAGTTCAGCTATAGTTCAGCTATAGTTCAGCTATAGTTCAGACAAAAATAGCTATAGTTCAAAGAAAAATAGCTATAGTTCAGACAAAAATAGCAATAGTTCAGATAAAAATGGCTATAGTTCAGAAAAAAAAATGGCTATAGTTCAAACAAAAATAGCTATAGTTCAAAAAAAAAAAGGCTATAGTTCAGAAAAAAATGGCTATAGTTCAGACAAAAATATTGGTCTTTCAGAAAAAAATGGCTATAGTTCAGACAAAACTAGCTATAGTTCAGAATAAAAGTCGCTATAGTTCAGACAAAACTAGCTATAGTTCAGACAAAAATAGCTAGAGTTCAGACAAAACTAGCTATAGTTCAGACAAAAATAGCTAGAGTTCAGACAAAAATAGCTATAGTTCAGATAAAAATGGCTATAGTTCAGATAAAAAATGGCTATAGTTCAGATAAAAAATGGCTATAGTTCAGATAAAAATAGTTACCTGGAGATAAAAATAGTTACCAGATCCCGAAAGGGAGAGGTTGAAACAACCAAGTCCCGAACGGGATCGTTTTAACAAAATAACGGATCCCGAACGGGAACAGTTGTAACTAAACTTGTTTCCCGATCCAAAAATACAGACAGAGATATCACTAAAAAAAACATATCGCCTCAGGTGTCATGATTCCTGAAACATACATAACTGAAACGCTTTCACATCACTTCGTCGATTCAAAAAAAGGATATCATATCTGAAAGTTCTTTCAGAAACAAGACAGTTATAAAATCCACGTGGTCGGAAACCAAGGCAAAGACTTTCAAAAGTATAAAAATATACAAAAAAGTTACAAAAAGTTACAAAAAGTTATGAAAAGTTATAAAAAGTTAGCAGAAGTTATAAAAAGTTAGCAGAAGTTATAAAAAGTTAAGACAAAACTTACAAATAAGTTATTAAAGTTAACATAACTTCCTTTTATCTTTTTGATAAGTCATGTTAACTTCCAACATAAATCCTTTAACTTCTGTATATCTAGGCTAAGTCTGTAAAGTCTTATAACTTTAAGCGTACAGTCTTCGTAGGCGTCCGACGCGAAGTTCGCCTTGCAGCTCCTGCAGCCAGACATCTTGCGTTCGTTCGCACCGTGTTAGTTCTGTAACCCCCTGTAGGCCACCTTGCACGCTGGAAAGCCATACAATTTGCTGGCCTTGCAAGCTTAGTGGCAACTTCTTAGATGGAACGCCTGTTACAAGGTGCCATGGAATTTGACCGAGAAACGTTCCACGTGGTGGAGGTAGCTGCCACAGGTCGCCCCAGAGAATGACGTTGAGGCCCCCGAAAGGTGCAACGGAGGTAGGGGTATGTTTGCTATATTTTGTGGCAGATATATCTAAGACAAGTTGCCGACAGCGGGCTTCGAGACGCGCTAACATCTCAGCACTCACCATGCTGATTTTATCAAGAAGAAGCCAACGCCACTGTACGGCTTGCCGTGCCAGGTCCAGAATCCGTTGCCCAGCCACGTTGTGATCGTTACCGTGCCACGACAGCCCGAGAGCTTTATGGATTGTCTCGCCATCCAAGGGTTCAGCATTCACGGCTTGGAATGCAACGACTTGAAATTCTTTGCCTGGCGTCCAGCCAAGACATTTTTCGAACAAGTCCCGCCGCAATATGTTCAGCACGTACGATTTGCCCGTGCCCGGCCCGCCGTGCAATGCCCAGCGAAGAGCCTCCGTGTTTGTTTCGGCTGCCCCGCCGCGATCTTGCCCCGTGGCTGCTTCGTGCTTGACCCGGGCACAAACAGTTTCAATAAAGGATAGCTGCTCTGGGTTGCATTGCTTTGTCTGACGTAACTCTCGGCAAAATTGGTCGACTTTCTGTCTTGTCTCTCGTGCTTCGATTTCACACACGCTCGGCCGCGAGTCATGCGTCATCTTTGTGTTTGCGTTGCTACATTTGCTCTCTAAAGCCTTCAGCCCTCTTCGGACCGCTTTCGGACCGCTTTCGGATCCTGGGCTTCGAATGGATTACGCGCGGGTTCAGTCGCTCCGCAGCGGGACTTGTGCTGCCACGTCGTTCCTGCTCGTGCCGCAGCTTCGTCGTAAGTTGCAAGAAGTCTAGCGTCAGCATCCTTTGGCAGGTCCGTGGTGCGCGAGGCTCGTTCTTGTCCCGTTTTTCGAAATGATGTTTGTAAGGTACGACTCGCAGGGTGCAATTGATATATTTCTTAGGTTGGTACCAAGATTTCCCTGCTTCAACAAGTAACCAAATGTAGCTAATCCACCATACTTGCTTCCGGGGTCGGCGGCAGGGGCGGCAGCCCTTAAATAAATAGCTATGAGTACAAATCTAGATTTTGTGTATGATGCCTTTCATGATTTAGGTTTTTTCAGGATACAACCACATTGGAACATGGGGAATTTGCACCACCCAGGGCAATCCAAGATTGATCCGAGTATCAGAGCCGAAGTCGTAGGTGGGCAATAACCTGAGTGGCGAGTCGGGAATATCCACCTTGGATATGGGCAGAAATTGGGGACCTACAAATGAAGGTGTCCTAAAATATGGCTACCCAAAAATGGATGGTTTTTGTTAACATCCATGAACATGGATGAGAACTGGAACCTACCCCCATTTTAGGAAACCACCATATTCAAATAGCAATTTTTAGAGCGACAATTGATGTAATCTACAGGAGTTGGAGGTACCCCATTTTCAGACCCCATATCTAATGTCAGTGGTGTTCCTCTTCAAAAAAATGGTGATCTTCGACTGCGGCATTGATGTACTGTCATTTTTGTTACGCAGGTGACAACCAACATGAACACGTACACACCTTAAAGATTCAGAACATGTCAGCTCGCAACTATAATCAGGTGTACCTATGGAAACCAAGACCCCATGATGTCCATTTGGATTTGTCCAGTATACCCAAACAAATGTTGGTGTATCATCATTTTCCCCGTTTCAATAATTTTAAATAACCATTTGGGAAAAAAAAACATGTCCAAACAACGAAACCGCCCAAGGGGCTGGACATGGCTGATTCCAGACTCTGCCAGTCGACGCAAGTGTTGATTTCCCAGGGAGTTTTCTTCTGCAAAGGCAAGGTACTTGCCTGGATCAACGGGAAAAGTCCAACAAAAATGCCGTCAAGTCTGAAAAATGCCTGGGAAAATGGATGAAGATGCTGAGGTTGATCATGTTTTGGTGATTTCACCAACAAAATGCTCGCCAGTTGGGATCATCCCATAATTGATTGATATAAATTGTCTAGGAAAAAATATTGAAACCACCAACTAGTGTATGTTATCCCAAATATACAGGGTTGAACATTAGAAACTGTTGAAAAAGACACCAACTAGTGTATGTTTTCATGGCTTGCCTAGCTCAACGCGTAGCGTGCATGGAGATGATTCCTCCAGTTCGAGAAGCGGGTTGGAAAAACACAACAGCTGAGCCGGTTCTTTAGCACATGTATGATGCAAAAGAAAAACAAGCGCTGCCTCTTGAAGAACATGTTTGAAGCATCTCGTGGCAGATCTAAATTCTAGAACTGCAGCTTTGCCTACGGTCCATGGTCAACCCTGTCAACCCTGGATTCATAACTTCTGCTGATGAATTACGGGGCTAACCCGTATGATCCCGTATGAAAAGATGAGTTATGAGTTGCTTTATGAACCCATCATCTACAATCAACTATAATTATGTTCCCAATAAACCCTTGACCAAGTTATGTGCATCAACTTCGCTATCGTAAACGGGGGCCTGACCTTGGTGAACCAGGGACTTCCCGAGACATAGTGGTCCCCAGGGTGCCTCGGAAAGGCTGTGATACCTTGGGATCTGACATGCTGAAGTCTCGGACATGGAGCTCGTAGATCGCCGCATCCTCGAAGAATGGCCGACTGCTCTGTTCGAAGAATGGCCAACAGGAATTGGTGGATTATACAGGAAATTTAAAACACATACACAAACGCACATAATTATATATTTTTTTTTGACCGGTATGTAAAATATGCGTGCTCAGACTCTGTGTGCCTGTATAGGTGTATATATATACATATGGTCAGCGTATATTATTGATGATGTATACATATATAAATATATATACACATATTATAATCATAATCACCAAAAACATTCATAATCATCACCATCACCATCACCATCATCATCATCATCATCATCATCATCATCAGCAGCAGCAGCAGCATCAGCATCAGCATCAGCATCAGCATCAGCATCATCATGATCATGATCATGATCATGATCATCAGCATCATCATATAAACAATGTTATGTACAGTGTATATATATATACACATGTATATGTATGCATATATATACACATGTATATACACATATTCACGTTTGTAGGAGCGTTTACGATCTTTATTTTGGAAAGATCCACTCTTTCAATGAAGGCGTAAACACCCAAAACAGAGGACATGCACCCAAAAAAGCGTGTCATCTTGTATCATCTTGTGTTCCACAAGAGACACATACATGAGCGGCCGTCAAAATCAATTGTTGCTGCTTGGTGTGAAAATATAGGTTATCGCTTTTTGGGGGGGCCCTATCGCTTTACAGTGTTTTATTCAAATCAACACTACATAATGCAAAAATACAGCGGAATTGGCTTCACGAATTCAGATCTTTATACTGCCGGGGATGGATTAAGGGGGCGCTCGTTGTCTTTGCGTTTGCAACCATGCTGGGGAGCTACCTAAGCACATTCCTAGACTCTTTCCTAAGCAAGGAAATATATTGTAATCTCAACTCCAAATCAGAATGACAGTAACCAACATAAGATCAATGATTCTATGAAAACAAAAAAGGATATCGCTGTGAGTCTATCCCTCGTCCGGGGTCCCTTTCTCAACAAAAGGTTATCGCTAGGTTGTCGCTAAGGTTATCTCTAAATTAGAACACCAGGATGATCAAGAAAGGAAGAGCAAGAGGAAATGAAAAGGACACATGAAGCAAAAAGGAAAAACTAAAATAGATGGAATTCAGCATTGGATTCAAAATCAATTTTGATTTACTTCGGAATTCAACTGCGTTTAGTTTTAAAAGGAAAGTAAAAGGAAAAAGGACGGTAAGAAAAAAAGGAAACAAAGGAATAATAATTTCAAATTAAATTATACAACACATAAACGGAATTCAGAATTGATTTAAAACTATTTTTTTGATTTAATTCAGAAATCAATTGCATTTAGTCATTAGTTTAATTCTACTGCTTTGGGACCTGGAAGGAAAAAAACTGCCTGCAGAAAGCAACGGTTCAATCACCTTGGACAGCAAATGACATGGCCACTGCAAGAAACGTGGGCACTGCAGGTTAAATTGTCTTCATCAAGTTGGCCCATCGCGTGAAGGTGCACAACAATATGTTCTTGGTTTACACCAAGTTCAATGCACTCTCATATGGTTACAAGTTATCGTTTTTTTGGGGGCCCTATCACTTTACATGGTTTGGTGCACTTTCTGGACACAACTGGACCCTCCCTTACTAAAGTAGTCTACGCTTATGTTGACCGTATCTCACATATAACATGAATATATTACAGTATGTTCATTGTCAATCTCTCTCATGCTATATGCGTGTATATGTATATCTGTTGCATATAGAGGTACTAAATCGTAGTCACTGCATATAGCATCCCCAAAAAAAAACAGGTTTAGCGGGCAACTATTTCAGTTGTTTTTCCTTTCTGCATTGGAGTTGCTACGAGTACATTCGAATTAGATCGTGGAGAGCATGAATTCTGAAATGAATGGTCTTACTACTGAGTTTACCATAGATGTACTCACTATACAAGTCTTGTTGTTTCATTAAATACTGTCTGTGATGCTCATACATCCTCGAAAATTACCATTAACTACTGAGAATATCTGTTTAATTCCTGCATTACACAGAGAAATTCAAGGTATAAAACCACGATTTCTCCACCCTTCAGAGCAATTCCAAATTGCAGAATCCTCCTGAAGCGGCAGAAAGGAGTGATCGCACCAGGACTTCACATCATCCGGTAGGACCTCCTAGGCCATCGGTTGGTGGTTGGTTTCTACCCCTCTGAAAAATGATGGAGTTCGTCAGTTGGGATGATGAAATTCCCAATATATGGGAAAATAACACATGTTCCAAACCACCAGCCAGATATGTATATTATATATATATTATATATACAGACACATAAAAATGCGCTTACACATACTCGGGCCAAAAGCAGGTTCTGAAAGAAACCACTCTGTGTACTGAGGTCATTGTGGGGTCGTTTTGACCCAACTTTGACTAGATCCCCCGTTCACCGCTGGTTAGTGAGAGCCAAAGTTGGTGCAAGTAGCCAGGTTAAATATGGTTTGTGGCAGATGTATATCATGATTGAAGCTCATGGGGTTGAGAAACCAACAAACATCACTGGGGGGCCGCACTTTTCAGGTAAATCCTCATTCCTACCCCAGTTAAAAGGATGAAAGGTCGCGGAGCTCCCCAGTTTCACTGTCCTTCCAAGTGGGCAAATGACAGACCATGGACCACGAAGCATCTGCTGCACCTCAGGGGATGCCATGTGGCCCAGAAATAGTGTATGTGCCATGTGTATGTGTCTATAATTACATGTATAATATATAAATAGTGTATGTATATATCATATATATATATATATATCATATGTATATATATATACAATATCTATATAATATATATATAATATATAATATTATTGCATAATATGTAAAATATAGGTATTTGAAATTATTAGGATATATTAGTATACGTTGATTAGAATATATTAAAGTGGTATCTTGTCTATTTATTTATAACAATGTATAGCTTTCATGTGGTTGGGAAACTCTGATTGCAGCTCCAACTGGCTCCCCATTTATGTTGGGAAAATGGATACCCCAAGCGCTCAGTTCACAGCTCCCTCGGAGTCAGAGTCCCGCGCAGCATCTCAACAGGTGCTGAGTACCCTCTGCTAATCAAACATGGCTAGCTGGACAATTCCGCATTTAGGTCGAGGATTTATTGGGGATTTTCCTGCTAGCCATGTTTGCTTGCCGAAGAGTAGTTTAAAATTTAAATCGAGATCACCCGGGTGTCAAAGGTGCAGAATGCAGCAAAGGTGCATGCGTTGGAATATGGATCTGGTGTCACGGTCGTCTGAAACTTTCCAGTTGAAGGATGATAGGCATAAATCCGGTATACGTAGAACCTGAGATTGCACTGCGGTGGACTGTTTGATGCGGCTTCCGGCAGTCAAACCTTGCAAGAGGACAGAAAGTCCGAGTCTCCTACAAACCAGGAAAACGAAGACTTCAGGATGTTTCTGGATGTTTCTGGAACAACTAGGAACTACGTGTATTCGAAGATAGTCATTCTGCTGGTGGCAGTGATGGGCTGTGGATACAAATATTTTGCCTTGGTCAGTTCGCTGTACTTCTCCCAGATAATGCTTTCTGTTGTGGGTTCAGCTCATGTCACAGAAACCTACCAATAAAGATCAAAAGGTCTATCGATGAAACAACTCATGTCTCCTGGCCAATCCCTCCACAAGGAAATTCAACTTAGCCCATATTTGCATATTGACGTTTGAAACAAATTACAAACAAATTCATTCAATGGGTTTGTCACAGAAGAGTACCCAAGTTCCCATGGTTTATCTTTTACCAATGCATATCTGTTCAATTTCAGGTATCCCTCAGGGACAAACAACCCACATTCACTACCATCTGGTTATTTAACATAGCGAACTGGAAAATCACCATGTTTAATAGGTAAACCATCTATAAATGGGCCATTTCCCATGGCTATGTTAAATAACCAGAGGGTATCTCCCAAAAATAACATCTTGAGGCTCACTGCTATTTTTGACGTTGGAAATACGTAGAAGAAACGTTGGAAGTTCCCCTCACGACATGTCTATATGGAAATCTCTGGGCTGAAGCTGCGTTGTCCAGCAGTGAGTGCTGAATGTAAATTCGAGGTTTAACCAACAAAATGTTGGATATGGTAAAATACATAAACAACAATATGATATTGGGTGTCGCAAAAATAGGGTATACCACCCATGTTGCTATTTAAAAAGGACATTCAATGATTAACCAGTTGATTTAGGTGATCAGCAACTCTCAATGCAGACGAACTCAGGAGATTTACGCCAGGATTTGGTGGAAACGTTTCTCCGTTTCTCCTTGCGTTCTTTTGGCTGAAACTTGTTAATCAAGCCAATGTGTCCGCACAATGTTGTAAATGTTGTCTACACAATGTCAATTCAAGAACTAGTAGTAACTCAACAACAGTTACCCAAGAGTTCGATCAAATCAACCGCGAAACAAGTAGTGGTTATATGGGGGTTTCCTGAAGTGGGGGTATTCAAAAACGGTTGGTTTACAATGGAAAATCCCATTAAAATGTATGATTTGGGGGTACCCCTATTTCAGGAAACCACCATATCCCATGTTTCCCCTGCCAGGTGAGGGTCTCTAGATTTTCACATAGGAATTTCGGAGAGAGACTGACAGAGAGAGAGGGAGAGACAGACGGGATCTCCGGGGACTCCGATGTACACACATATGTATATATACCCTCTGGTTATGACTAACATAGCCATGGTATAGATGGTTTACCTATTAAAAATGGTGATTTTCCAGTTCGCTATGTTGAATGACCAGAGGGTAATATACCCTCTGGTAAACTGTCCCATAACTATCCAGAGGGTACCCAGTTTTGCTCCAAGTAACTTCCCCCAGCAATCCGGGGTGCCACGGCAGCGCCACACCCCATCATCTGCGGAGCGAAGGCGCCGGTGCATGGGCTGTAGGGACACCTGGCCATGCGGGTTAATTCCCCGTTAAACATGTTCAATGGATTGGTTTAAGGGAAAATCTACAGGAAACTATGGATTTTCCCACTGAATATGGGTCTTTCCTGTAAATTTTCCCTTAAACCAATCCATTGACATGTGGTTTTCCATGGAAAAAAAATGAGCAAAAAAAACGATTGGAACCCTCCCAAAAAGATGAGAGAACCGATTGAAATCCTCCTGAACTCTTGCGATGACTTGGTTTCTTATATGTTTGGAGAGTTGCCCTAAACCATGGGGAGATTGGGCTGCCCATATCTAGGTTCCTGAAATGTTTGGAACTCTGAAAACCACCACAAGTAGTATTAGTAAGGAATCCCATGGTTTGGGAGCATATGAGCACCATCATTTCCCATGTGAATATGTCATTTTAGCGCCAACATGTTGTCAAACAAAAACCATTCGTGAAACACAAGGGCCCCAGGGATACCAACATTTCAGCAACCAAGATTTTGTGACTAACAGTAAGCTACGTTGAAAAACACATCGTTGGGGCTCATGCACCAGCAGTGGATTTTGACAGCCACAGCTACTACAAGGTGGTGGTCAGTGGTCCCTCATAGGTAGCTAAGTTGGGTTTATAGAATTATAAATGTGTGTAAGCAATATGATGCAATATGAACTATTATGTCATACTATTTCTGGTTATGGTCATTCCAACTATAGTTGGATGGTGTTACCAACTTCCAGCAACTGCAACTAGGAGAGACCTCCTTGCGCACCTTGGAGGTGGATTCTGAGAACCCCTCCTGCAAAATGCGGGGCGAGTGAAACCACAGGAACCACGGGAGATGGAAAGATGGGGGATGTGCATACTGCGCCTATAGATCCAGCCGTGCCTTCTGATGTTCACCGTCTTGGGTGTGATTGTTTGGATCTACATGGTCAAGACTGTCTGATTGCAAAAATCTTCCAGATCTTTTGACTAAGTATTGGGGAAACATGGGAAACCAATGGCTTTGGAGTACCATAAAAAGACACATATCAGCAACAAATGGAGTTAGTGACAAATATCAGCCAATGTAGAAAAACATACGTAATGCAAATACGGTGACGTAATGTAATCTAATCTCCACAAACCCATCGAGCATGTGGGTGAATATGTGCATGGCTCAAGACCAGAGCTCTAAGTATCTAGTGAAGAATTGGAACTTGCATGAGACATTATGATGCATTGAATGTGTGCTTCAGGTCAGTCTGCTCAATGATGCCAAGTAAGCAAACGGAAATCACAAACAATCACTCATCGACCCTGACCTGTCCATATGTTTCGAGGCATCTAATCTCAACTCTGGCCTTTTAGTAGACCCAACTCCACCCGTTGAAGCACTTCCTTTTGTTGGAGTTCATTCGTGTTGTGTCACAAGCAAGGTCACAGTACTCAGTCTCAAATTCTTGAAAGTTATTATGATGCATACATATATATATATATATCTTTGAAAGTACACTCCCTTAATCAAACATATCAAACATGGCAACTGGGTTTATCCCCCACAAATGATCATAAACATGTTATAACCTGCTTGGTGGTTGACCTACCCCTCTGAAAAATGTGAGTTCGTCAGTTGGGATGATTATTCCCAATATATTAATGGACAAATAAAAGCCATGTTCCAAACCACCAACCAGTAACATGTCATTTTTCATGGGAAAATCATCCATAACTTGCCAATTGCGTGGATGATTTTAACGGAGGTTTCCACGAGGCCATTTCCCCGGGAGCACCTCCAGGAAGTTGCCTGCGTTCAGAAACGGGTCCTGCCATCATCGGTGTAGGATGGACCAGACTCCAAGCCAAATAGGATGATTCAAGCGATATAACTTACCAACAACATATGAATATACTCATATGGTACAGTATATATATATATATATGATGTAGTGAAATATATCGGCATATATGTAGATGGTACTAGTAACATCTAGTAACTACATCTTTAAGTATATATACAGATTTTTAAATATACGAACTGGTGTTTTCGAATACCTCCGGGAAGGTTTTCCTTGGCCCGCCCGGCGCCGCCCGGCCGTTAAAACATAAGGAATTCAATTTATTTAAACATACATTTAAATATACGGATGGAACTGGTGTTTCATACTACTGGGTCACCAAGTACCTCCGGGGCCTTGTGATCTGGCCCGCCCTCCACATATTTAAATGTCGTTAGGTATAATCAAGAGATGAAACATGGGTGTGCCTGAAAATCGGGGATATCTCAACATATGGCTATTTAAAAGGGGAAACAACTATATAAAATGATTGGTTTGGAAACATCATCATACTGCCATTCTCATCCACATCATGTACCATCTGGTTATTTAACATAGCGAACTGGAAAATCACCATTTTTAATAGGTAAACCTCTATAAATGGGCTTTCCCATGGCGAACTGTTAGTCATAACCAGAGGGTACACGTTTTTTCACCATTGTTCATACACATGTTCATCTCATGTTACAGACATCGGATCATCGTCCTCTGTTAAGATGAGGTCCACCTTCACCGCGCTGGGTGCCCAAAGGGCAAACTCCATCGAGGCGGAGTCCTGGTGGGAATGGGAGTCCTATGATGGCTTCTCAGGGAGGACGGCAGAGTCGATTTTGTCCACTGGTGATACCCTCCAGAAAAATACATAGACCCTGCCAAATAGGGATTGGAAGATTAGTTCCATTCCTGGTTCCATTTTGAAACTGCCAACTTTTCAGGGTCTATTTACCAGAGGCTAAATGTTGTGGTTGGTTAAACCGCGAAAATCAGTGACGATCATCCCAGGCTTCCAGCTGGTGCCAGCGGTTCCACTGGCTGGTGAGCATGCTATCGGCTGGAAGCACTAAAAATCAGATTTCGAATCTTCTGGATGATCTGTTTTTCAAATGCCGAAAATGGCACATTATCGAAAAATGAACCGACAAACAATGAAGTTGAAGCTGCAAACAATGAAGATTGAACTGCTTAGCACATAGACTATAACTTATGATATATGAACATAGACTCTGATGAATCCCAAACCCTATTTGTTGGGCCATGATTGATTGTTTCCCCAACGTTGGCTGTCATTTGCAGTGACGTTGTGAGGTCCTTATCATTTATTCCGTTATCCAGGGTCAACCTCTTTGAATTCTTTCTAATGCTGAAATCTGAATAATATCAACCAAAAGATGACGATCCCCTATCATCTCTATCATATTAAAATGTGTAGTAATAATGTAAGGACTGAAACAAACTAATATAAGCGTACAAGTGTCAAATTATAAATATATATATATATGACATATATATATATGACATATATATTATATATATATGATATACATATTTCATATATGATTTAAATATATCATATATATATATATCATATTAATTCATATAATATCATAGTATCCTCATACTTACTGTCCTTTCTTCGCCCTTAGACTTCTGGTGATGGTGTTTGCTTATGTCAAATCACAGCACCAGCAGCAGTCACCGGGGCATCCGGGCCCCAAAGGCACCTCCTTTGCATCAACGCCTGAGACCGAAGAGCAACCCAAGGGCCCATCATAAGCGAAGAGCTCATCAATCAAAGGGCCGATCCTGACAGGTGCGTGTGATTTCATTATGGTTATACCAGCCATTTATACTGGTTGGTGGTTGACCTATCCTGAAAAATATGAGTTCGTCAGTTGGGATGATGATATTCCCAATATATGGAAAAATAAAACATGTTCCAAACCACCAACCAGTATATATAATTAAAGTGCTTTTTTTAAAGGTAGATTGATGGGTGGTATAGACCTTCTTTTTTTTGGATCATACCTGCAGGACGGTGCCCCCCAGTTATGTTTGTTGGTTTATAAACCCCATGATCACTAGTTCGTTATATCTACCATAAACCAGAGAATTCACTTTTTTCAGGCAACTGAAAGCGATCAAACGGGGGCCCCATCATGCAGGTGCCATATCCGAAAACCATTGGTGATTCATTTGATAATCAGTGGATACCCTATGGTAATTTAACATAGCTATTGAACATTGCCATTTCTAGTGAGTTTTCCCATAGAAAAAGGTGATTTTCAATAGCTATGTTAAATTACCAGAGGGTAAATGGGAAGTATTCATATGAACCATTGATCAAATCTGATGTATGGGATGTTTTTTTTTTATCCACGGATAAGATCTGGGAAATCTGGGGCAAAGCGACTATTGTGTGTCTTGATATGTCTTGATGCTATGGATGACTCTGGTGATTCAAGCTAGTCTTTTTGTCAGTGTGTGGTGGATTGAAACAATAAATATACATATACTGTATGTATATAAATATATATATATACACATATAATATATATATATATAATTACATATAATATATATATATATATTACACACATATAGAGCCATGTAAAAAAGGCTGATTCCACCTGGACCAACGCTCTTTCAAGAAGTGGCAACATCTATAATGATACAACTGAGTTATATACAACTGAGTTATATACAAAGAAGGATAAACCACTGCAGAGGTTTGCATGCATTGGTGTTCCAACATGTGTTCCTTGAACTTGAGACAATATCATTTACTGAAAATGGCATGTATACACCTCAAAACCCCAAATGACCACCCAAAAACAGGACCGTTGCATAAGATGCCGAAATCAAAGCCTTCCGTTGCAGAATCAGTCAGTGTGCCCTTCGGAAGCTAAGCATCTGTACTCCAGTGCAATCCACCGGCTTGCCATTCGTATCTGGCGGTTGGGGCTGGCAGCAGAGCCTTTTAAAACAACTGACTCAATTTGAGCCCTTCAAAAGAACCCGGTTGATTACTATACTATAGCTGGATTTGAAGAGGTTTTAACCTATCTGATCCAACCTGGCTTATTCGGATGATCGTCACCCACAGTCAACGGGGGATACCTGATGACCAACCAGTGTAATGGGACAGGATATGGATTTGTTTCATGGCTCATTTGAGGATCATACCGCGGATATCTACATGGATATTGACTTGCAGTATCTTGCAGTCTAGTCCATAGATGTCCATAGTCAAGCCCCGAAATGGTAATCTAACCTTGCAATGGAAAAAACTCGCAGCACGGATCCCAAGTATCCATGGGCCTCAGAAACCAATCGCCAACTCTCGGTATCTCTTGGCTATTATATGGTTAATGATGGTTAATAGTGGTTAATAGTGGGTTAATAGTGGCTTAATAGTGGTTAATAATGGGATGATAATCTGGTTGGTGGTTGACCTACCCTGAAAAATGATGGAGTGAAAGTCAGTTGGGATGATGAAATTCCCAATAGATGGAAAGTCATTCAAAATTCCATGGTTCCAGTCACCAGCAAATCCACCAACCAGTTATACATTGGAAAACATCTCACCATCGGATGGCATGATGGGTACATCGCCGCCTCTGATGGATACGGCCAGCTTCTGCTTGCAGGCTTCCCGTGGGTCCACCTGGCGGCCGCAGATCATCGGTGAGGAAAAACCGCTTTGGTTTACACGGCAAGATGGGACCGAGGGTAGATGCCATGCCAAGTCCTCGAGGGTTATCATGTGCTTGGGAATCTTGGGAAAAGGGAAAGTCCAGAAACTCGTAGCTCCGCTCCCCATTCTGATGTATTGCCCATGATATTCTTGCCGCTTATATTCATTATATCCCATGATATCCCATTCTACATCATTCTACAATTATGATCAATTATGTCCAAAAATATCCCGCTATATCCCATCCTGTTGTTTTGGAGCAACCCTGGAACCATTCTTGGAAGACTGATCATATTCTTGGTACCATAGTATCCCCCATTCAATTCCCATTGTTGCAGCCTCCTTGGGCACTGTCAAGCGCAAGCATCCAGCAAGGAAGGGAACCTTGGAACGTTCCATGCTTGACGTGGCACATCCAGGTGGAAAATGTCTTTGAGAAACTGCACGCATTCAATAGCTAGTAAATCATGATAAATCATGATAAATCCAGCCTTTCTGTGGTACCACGTTGGCACGTTGTTCGACCCGTACCCATGCAAAAACAAAAGTCAAACCCAACGCCATATGGACAGCATGACATATGTCCGAAGGCATTTAGCTCCAGGTGGCATTGGTGTTTGTCAAGTCCTCCGCTGCCAGTCTTTGCTGCGGCGTCAATTTCCAGCACTGCCCGCCCTGCGGCGCCACGGTGCCTTCCACTTGGTGCTACTTAGTTCAATGATTCAACAAGGAGGAACATGTCGTACTGGGGGCGTGGCCAAGCTCCGTCATTTCTTGAGGTATTGTCGGGAATTACATGCTCATAGAAATCACGATCTCTCCCATAGAATGGCCCAAAATCAAGCCACTACCGAAGCCAATGGAAATCTTCCACCCAACATCTGCCAAAAAATGACAACTGCACAGGGTTCCTCCATGACATCCCATCCTTGCCATGACAGTCCCGGATTTTTTTTTCGCCTGGACACCATCAGAACCGCAATCTTGAAGCTCAGCCCCTACCGAGATGCAAGATCATTTGCATCGTTAAAACATACTGAACCCGGGGCACCCAATAAACTGTATGAATTCAGATGAAACATGATAAACCATGTCATAATCAAGGTCTTGGATGATATCACTGAGGTGAAATTCCTTGAGCATCTGGAGGAAAATGCCTTTGCAAGTCAACCAGTTCGGAGTACTTGGGTTTTGTTTTCCGTTAATCCGGTTAGAACATGAGATGCTCACCAATTAGTGGATCATCAGCACTTTATCCCATGCACTTTGCAATTTGGGGGGTATCCCCCATTTTTGGACAAAGTCATTTATCATCCTTCATCATAATTTATCCATACCTAGAAACACCAGAGGCAAATAAAAGTGCCTCAGGCCCCCAAGGCAAAACATAACGCCGCATGAGTTGTGTTTTTTTTGCCTCTAGTGGGTTAAAAACGCCTCTGGAAAGCAAAAAACACCTCAACCACAAGAGTTTACCAAAGCGCTTGGACTCCCCATGGCCACGTTTGCAGTTGGCAAAGCCCACAACTAGGGACCAACCCCCCTGACAAACAGCCGCACATACTGCTAAGAATTTCCCAAGATTTCCCTATGTAATGAACTCTGCAAGAAAAACAATGCAGAAAACAAGCCCTACGGTACAGTAAGTATATATGTGTTCATAGTTACACATTTCAAGTGTTGGCTTACATCGACATTGAGGCCCTTGGATTGTAGCTTCCAACAAAGTTTTACGACAGGAAAAAACATCTAGAAGAATCAAAATCCGTGAAAAAAAACATTTGGACATGTTTCCGGCAAGATTTGAACCTCAATTTTCAGAGTCCGTCCTTTTCCGCCGTTTTCCCGCCCTTTTCCGCCGTTTTCCGCCGTTTTCCTGCCCTTTGCCGCCGTTTTCTGTCCTCTGAATGTTCCATGTTTCCAATGTTTTTCCTGGTTTACCTTTGTTCTTTTCATGACAACAATTTTTTTTGTATTCACTTCCGTTGCCTTTTGGAAAGATGCTGCAAATGCCAAAATGCAACGCAGAATTCCAGTGTTTTGATGCATTTTGTGGGCACTGACAGTCTCGCTGACAGATCCAGCCATGCAGAAGCTATGCCCCCAGTTTTAGGTGATGTTACACTGTTGAGATTTGGAAGATTTACTGTACCGGCTGTGCGTCAAAGCAGGTATTGAAATCAAACCAATGTCCGCTGTCATTGTTACCCATCCTGTTGAACAATCTATAGAACAGAGAAAAAGGAAAAACGAGGATTACAACAAAAACGCCTCAGCAAAGCAAAAAATGCCTCAGATCAACTTGGAGGCGCCGCAGACCCTCCCTTTGGCGTTTTTTCATGCCGTTGAGTTTTCCCAGGTATGGGGTTTCATGGGGTTTCCGAAGTCATCCGAAGTCAACGGGGATCCCCAGTCGTCACCATGTGTTTCAATATGTTTCAATACTAAGTCATGGTCATACATGACGACTGGATGATGCAAGCGGGTATCGTCCTAACCTGGGAAACTCCATCTTTCTCCGTCGACTTCGTTGTCACTGGGCTTCCCTGCCGCTGGCATGGAGAAAGAACTGGAACTGCGTGTCCTAGAGCAGGTCACTGCATGATCTTTACGTGTTGGGGTACCCTCCGGTAACGTTGCCATGGCAAATCTCTTCAAAATGGAGGTGTAAATGGCAAAATCAGCTATAAATGGGGGGATGTTCCATGTGCAAAGAAAACCCACATATCCACTTGGGATCAAAATGTCCTTTATGGAATGTCTCGGGGTTGGCGACTGGCATTACCCTACCAATCAACCAGCGGGACAAGAGGTGATTCGAGCACAATCTCAAAGCACAACACGAAAACATGAGGCTTTGGGTAAAGCATGGGTACTTTTGAACACAAACAGAGTTGGTGATTGTTTACTGTTTATTTACATATATTAAACGCACCAACAAACCCTTCACCCTGCTGCTTCAACTTCATACCCAGCTATACCCAGCTCACCCTCATGACCTCAGAGCGCGTCCAGAAATGCATTGGCTTTTGCTTTGGGTGCCAGTGCATGTACCAGTCAAAGCGCAGCGCGATGCAGCCGCTGGACAACCAATGCGCTCGTGCTTTCCTCGGAGATTCGCAGGAAAACTCTATAAAGAACGGGGACCTACCTCTTGGTCTTAGTACATTTAGTACAATCCTGGAAGTGGCATTCAAAACTATTCAAAACAAAGTCCCTTGAGCTCAAAATACGGGGTCTGAATATCCTATAGTTTCTCGTCGTCGGAGTATCTCGCACTGGACAAAGCCACGGCAAACTGTCTGAGGAAGTCTGCGGGCCCAAAAGACATGCTGGGTACATCAACCAAGGTTTCAAGCTTCACGGACTCGACTTCTGAACATCTCAAAACTCTGGTGGGGCCATTTCATTTGGCCATGTGGGTCCCAACCTCTTACACCACCAAGCTCTAAAAAGCGAACCCCTTCACCGCGGGTTCCATGCCATACTCCCCTTCAATGGTAATTCCAGGATCCTAAATTGGAGGTACTGTACCACATAAGCCCATATTTTGTGGGTATATTCCCTTACATAGGCCTTATATAGGCCTTATATATATTTATATATAGTAGGTACCTCCAATTTAGGATCCTGAAATTCCCATTGATACTCCCCTGCCAGGAACCGCGAGTCTGTTGGTGGAAGTCGCCTACAGGTACCATTGTCGGATCCGGCTCCTGGCACGGAGATGATTTGGACCAAACAAATTGGACGAGAAGACATGCACGAGGTCCATCATCTTGGTTAACCTCCAAAAATGAGGTACCCTCTGGTACACTAATATAGTTATATGATGTATTATGATGTTATATGGAACATTCACCACTTTATTTTAATAGGCAAATCACCTATATATAAATGGCAATGTTCAAAAGCTATGTTAAATTGGGGTATACGCGCCAATTTTTCATACTGTATCGTCACTAACCCAAGGAAATGTCGATTTTCAAGCGATACCCCACCTCACAAACAGATCCGTGCAGAACCCGCATCTTGAAAATGCGACTGTCTGGTGTTAATGATGGCCCTGCAGAGGGTGGGCCCCCTACTTGCAGATTGTGATATACCATTCCCTATGGATCTAGCCGTACCTTCTTGGGAAGTATGACTGGGTTTTAACTTAGGATGTTAGCTGTACCTTCTGAGAAAGTATCCACATGGGTTGGCTATGTATCCCATTATGTCCCCATGATCAATCCATGAACTTATATCCAATATAAAAACCCATTATAATATGGCATTATGTTTGGTCATAATACCACATATAAATCCATATAATACCCATCCTAAAGTTTACTTTTAGATTACAACGTTTAAACCTTTATCATATACCCATAGGATCCATGTATGCTATATATGCTAACATTTGGGGTATATTTATGGTAAATGTTACCATATATAGCATACATGGATCCTATGGGATATATAATCCATTGACATGCATTATAATCATTATAAAATCAGTATCTTGTGGGATGACACCCATTGATCCCTTCCCTCAAAGCGGTCCCCGTGAACTTCCCATCCTTCAGCAACACACGGTCGTTGACGATCCTGACAGCTGTCCCACTTGGATGCGCATTTTCACTAAGGTTCCGTGGTTTATAATCCAAATACCCCAGATAATCCATAGGTGGGGATATTATATGGGTATATGGAATATCATATGGAATATCATATGGAATATCATATGGAGTATCATATGGATAATCTGGGGTATATAATGTGGACATCATCATATGGAATACATATACCATTATACAATATGGAATCCCATACATAGGTGGGGATATTCCATATTATATGATATAATTGGGGAGGGTATATGGGTATTATAACCCAATTACTTAAGTGGGATGCACCCCCAAGCAGTTCAACAGTTCCATTCGATTTCCGACACAAAAAATGGATCATCGATATATCGATAAAGGTTGCCGGGGTATAAGCCATTTTTTCAACACCAGATCCGGAGGATTGTGAAGGTTCTCATGTCATCCTCGGATTATATCATGGTCATTTTGTTGCACCAACCATTCATTTCTGGTTGGTGGTTTCAACCCCTCTGAAAAATATTAGTCAGTTGAGTCAGTTGGGATGATTATTCCCAACATATGGAAAAATAAAAAATGTTCCAAACCACCAATCAGTAATGGTCTCTGCAACTGTGAAAACAGCAGAGGGTTTCCGAGATGGGTTGGAAACAGAAATTCTGGTGGGAATTCTATTTCCATACATGTGCATATATACCATTGTATACTAGTTGTAGAAATATGTAGTCCATCATGATCCATCATGTATAAGTTCAATTTGAATAATAGTGGTATGTATACTATTATTATCTGACATGCATATACAATAGATTATTGACAAGTACATCACCACCCAAATTATTCCTGTACTATTTACATACAGTCACATTCATACAATAGTTTCAACAAAGGAGGGAAGGCTGCTCTATTTGTTTTTTCGGATAACATGAACTCACCCAGAGCCCAGCGACCAGATTTCTTTGCTCTCGGCGAGTTGGGAGAAGTTGAGCTCAGCTTGGCCAAAGGCTTGATCACCCTGGCGGTAGGAAAGTTGGTTGAATTGACCAACCTTTGGATTTATAGTGTGTATTTTCGACATGCGTATTATATATACGTATATATATATATATGCTATAAGCCTGAAGCCAACTATATAGTGGGTGGCCACTTCTTGTAACCAAGAAGTGATGGAGAACAGAGCCACTAGGTTTCTGTGGGACGGTATGAGAATGTCTGCCATCGATGGATCCCTCCATAACAGCAATTTCTGGCGAAGTCGTCTGCATTCTCTTGTGCAATACATGTGATGTTTGACCACACACATGGTGTTGTTACCCATCACTAACTGGGATGCAAGCAACAAGCATCGTTCAAAAACAATGTACGTACTTCTCATACCACTCTCATGCTCTAAAGCGCAAAGTATGGAACATGTATGCCGTAGAAAGTAGGATTTACTTCACGACATTGCTTTAAATGCAAAATGGATCAGAATGGCTGGATTGAGGCAAAGTTAGTTACATAATTTACATACCTCCTTAAATTTGGATGTTTCTTTTGCATCTCTAAGATATACAATACTTAGTCATGTACTCATACTATTTTATATTATGTTCAAGAAGATTTCATCAACAGAATCACCGGGAAGGTTTTCTTTCGTGGCGTCTTGATCAGGTCAAGTTTTGACCTGTAAAGACTCTTTCAGACGCGCTGCAAAAACAAACATGCGCCGAAACATCATCGATCTTTTTTGAGCATTTCAAATACTTTAATTATATTATTATATATTGTTAATTAAATAGTTTTCTGGTTTTTCACACTATTGAAACGCCGACAAACAACCTGCAACCTCGGACTTGTTGTGCACCTCCTTGAGACTGAGCCCCAAAGCGAAGTCCGAAGGCATCGTGCCCTCCGTCGACGGTTTCGCCAGCTTCAGGTGAAAGCTTTCGCCAAACCTCGACGGTTCGTGGCACCGTGGGCACTGTGGCACCAAGGTTTTAAAGGCAGGGGCCACCCGGCCAGGAATCGTATGTTCAACCTGGTTGAAGGTAAAAACACACGGGAAAACCAATCCAAATGGATTCTTGATCCACCAGAAACCTAGTCACAAACCACCGGTGAATCCCACTTTGTAGCTGGGTTTTTGTTACCTTTTGTTGGGGGCAACTGGCAGAATTTTGGAGATTGAATTTAATTGTAAATTGGTCATGTTGCTGATCAGTACTTCACCCCTTCTGACCATCATGGACCGTCCTCATCTGGTAGGTGGCTTTAACCCAGCCCAGAAATATGCGAAAGTCATCTGAACCAATCATCCCAAATATGCTTGACAAATCCATAAATATTGGAAACCACCAACCAGTCAGTCTTCAAACATCCAGCCGTTGAAGTTTTCGAAAGGTCCAAGGTCCGGTGGTACCCCCCGGTTATGTCTGTTGGTTTATAAACCCCATTAAGCAGTAAAGCAAAGTGAAATCGGAGTCATGTTCATGAAATCCCCATGGCTTGTTTGTTGGTTTGTCGTATGGTTGGGTCACCATTTTCCGATGGTTACCCTCTGGTAAATTAACACTTCGACCCTGAAAATCACCAATTTTCAGAGGAAACTCATCGGAACCAACCCCAACAACTACCAGGGTCTATGTTAATTTTCCGATGGTAAGTCACTATTGTCCAATGGTTATTCCTAAGCTATTGTTTGGAACCACCACCAAAAATGGGAAATCTGGAGAATCTGCCAAGAAACCCATGAAGTCCAGCCTGGTGATGCCACCAGCCATGGATCTCATCCCTATCCTTAACGCCCTCCCAAAAATATATGTTTTCAGCCGGTGAGTATATATGTATATACAATATAATACATATATATATATATATATCACCATCTGTTTTGTTTTCTTCATTCGATCAATTCGATCTTCTAAGGGAAATAGAAGATCGAATCATGGCTATAATTAAAGCTGGGAATTACGAGGTAACTATCAACGAATTGCCATGTACTTCACCAAGGAGTGCGGTTTACATCCAGGATTTTCCACCTCATTCCCTGTGGTTTCCTGTAACATGTTCCCGAGATAACGAAAGGGGAAAATCATGCTGAAACAACGACACGATGCCTTTCTATAAATGATAAAAACAACCAATAGTCAATGATGATCATGTAACATACCCTTCATGTTTCCATTCTTGGTGTTTTTGTTGTGATCCCAAAGATCTTTGTTTTATTCCAATGAATATGTTGAATGTTTGCATTACACAAAATATCTGATATGGGTAAATTATAGTAATTCACCGACCTGAAAAGTTTGGCTATTTTGAGCTAGTTCCCCCTACAAATCATCATTCCAATGAGGTCGCAATGTGAGGTCGCAACATCATACAACATCATTTACGCAGTCCAATATTATTATACGTTTCATAAACATTCCCAACAACCAACTGATGATATAATGATATATTATATATAATATAGAATGATATAATATAATATATATAGTTATAGATATAGATATATATATATACATTGTATGTGTACGTATAATGTTTAACATATGTTTCAACATCCAATATACGTTTCATCCATGGTAGGATTCCATTCGCAAGAACTTCGCTCGTGGCCTTGCTCCTGGTCTTTGGGATTCGGCTGCTCTGTGGCACTGCAGGTCCTGATGGAAAAAGATCGGAAAATCCCATGGAAAATCCGATGTAATGTGGGTAAAACAATGCCATAAACCACCTGGGAATGGTTTTTATGTGTAAATAAATAAATAACTATGTGTATATGTATATATATATATTACCGTTATACCACCTATAAAAATGGTGATGACTGGGGGATGGTGTATGGCATTGTTTTACTCACATCATTTCTATAGATCAGTGGAGGTTTATAGCTGGGAAAATTTTAGATCCATGGGAGATGTTCCGTTGCCAAATTTGACTACTGCAGCTATGTTCCATACTGTTTCCATGAAAGGCATCTATTACCGCTTTTGAAGGACAAAAACAATGGAAATTCTCTGATCAATTATAGTATATGTGGGTCGATTTGAAACATGATCTGTTTTTTAGTGATGAAACATTGATAAATCTTGGAACCACAGAACCAGCAGTTCATTGCTTGCGCGCACATCCCGCAGCCTGTTGTCTCGGTGGTTCCACCCCATGCCGTTGAACACAAGACATGTGGAGGGTTCATAAGTCATGGGGGTACCCCCATTGCATCATCCAGTTGTCATGAAAAGATCATGACTTAGTATTGACACCCATGGTGACTTGTGGATCCCTCATGACTTCAAACATCCTCGAATTGAAAACGAACTGGTCTTGGCCGGTCAAAATTGCCCTTGGACGCCACACATGACACCAAGACACCCCATACGTGCAGTCCCAGGTCAGGATGCCTTGGGGCCCAGATGAATGTGATCTTCATCTCAGATCTTTGGTGTGGGGCCCCCAAATGATAGCTAACTTGGTTTATAACTACAAAAACTAGGGTTTATAGGGAAATATATCTATAGTTGGATGGGGTTATAAACCAATTTGTAACTGGGGGAGGCCACTTTGTACAGGACCAATTTTACCAACAGAAATGGGATTCAAGCCTGAAAAGAAAGGTGTATATTCGCAGCTAACAAACATGGCGAAAATCCACGACTTGTGGTCAAATTAGCTATGTGAAGAGGGGGATTCTCCAGTTCCAGATGTTCCAGGTCTACAATAAGCGGTAAATGGATGTACATGGGATCCAAAAGCAATAACTGGACCAAAAAGGACTGCTTGGAAAGAAGGCCACAGCTACGGGTAGTCTTTGTGAGACAGGTCATTCTTCAGACTCAAAACAGCAAAGACATGGAGGTTTCCAATCCATGGGGGTACCCCCAAATAATCCAAGTCATGGATGACCAAAACTTAGTATTGAACCAACCATGGTTTAGAGGATCCCCCATGTTAAGAAACCTCCGTATGTAGCTGGCTGACCATTGAAGTCGTACTATATTATATATATATATATATATATCAGATATTATGATATTATATATATATATATCATATTAAATAAATAAATATATATATATATATCAAATATTATATTCTCAATATTTATAGCTAGAATACACACTATATATAACATATGTTATGTTTCAGATTCAATAAAGCACACACTGACAAATATAATAATTAATATAGTAACATAGTATTTATCACGATGTACATCATATATCACATTATCACATTATATCATAGGATAATTACATACTTATATGTTACAAGCTATACTTGTAACTATATGATATACAATGATATACATTGATATACTATAACTAGACGAAACACATCATTTTGTGCCATGCTACAAGCATCGCACGCGCACTGAGACATGAAAGTGCACTGTCAAAGTGCCCTCCTGAGTACGGAGATCGTTAAACTGTAGGGACGGACGTTTAAAAAAAAAAAAACATGAAACATAACAAAAAAAGTGGATAACACAATAATAAACCACCCATTTGGAAATGGTTTATACGACCTATTTATTGTGATTTGGGGGAAGGTTTATTATTGCTTTACCCACATTAATTGTGATATATGGGGATTTACTAGTGAAAAACGGGATACACCCTCTGGTCAACAAACATAACTTTGGAAAATAAAAATTCTATGGCTAGGTACAGCAATTAAATTGCCATGTTCAACAGCTGTGTTAGTTTTCCAACCAGGGACTTTGTTGACCAGAGAAACCCCTGGTGGGTGGTGCCTCCATGCCAAAACCACTTGCCGATCTTAATCTCGAGCGTGCTCACTCTAGATGAATCAGACACCATATTGTGTTGTGCATTACATACTCTACGCAATTATTGAGGTGATGATACAAGTATGGTTTTGTTGGAAAATAGGTTGCCCCTGAATCCAATGGTGAATCATGATTTTTGAATAAATGTGTTCCCATTTAAAATCGCCAAAAACATGGGTGGACCTACATATAATGACACCACAGATGGGATTTTAATTATGCTAAAGTGATAATTAATTATGACACCACAGATGGGATCACTTTAGATGACACCATTATATATGAGATTTGAATTATTTTAATGGAGACTTTCATGATGTTCCCATTAACATCTCCAATTTCTCCATTGGAATTCCACTTTCAGACTGAGATGGATCTGATGGATCCAGCGACTGGGAGGTGCATCCCGAAGAATTGCCCTGACCTGATGGGCATCACGTCGCAACGAAAAAATCATGGTTCTTAATGTTCAGCAAGACCTTTATAAACATTCTCGGGTTTCAGAACAAAAAACATGTTTCCCTATGGATCCAAACACTGTCTGAGAAGGTACTTAACCTCCAAATCATACCCCAAACACTTCCTAAGAAGGTACTTGGATCCATAAGGCTTGAAAAAAATATGATTCATTCAATATGGTTAAAACATGTATGATATTTAACCATATTGTCATATTGTCACAAATAAATCATATTTAACCATGGGTGATTGCCAATTCAGTCACCTTAAATGACACCATTTTGTAACCGGACTCATAGAGAGTTTCAAATTCCACAGCATGGGATGCCAGCGTGGCACTTGGACCAACCATACAATCCAACATGTCAATCCTGGTTGGTGGATTCAGAATACTGGTTGGTGGTTGGTGGTTAATAATGGTTAATTGTGGTTAATAGTGGTTAATGATGGTTAATCATTGGTTAATTATGGCTGGTTGGTGGTTGCTGCTAACCCCTCTGAAAAATATGAGTTCGTCAGTTGGGAAGGATGACATTCCCAACTGAATGGAAAGTCATAAAAGCCATGTTCCAAACCACCAACCAGAGTTGGATGATACACCCTATAGAAAATTGATAGGAAAATTCACATTAACGTAGCTTGAAAAACCCAACAGCAGGTTGCAGGGTTCCATGTTTCAAGGGTTTTGTTCCGGTTTTCACAGCCGACAAAAAACAGCGCACCAATCCCAGACCCACCGATTGAAATGCAACAGTCACTGCTGTTGGAAAAAACAGAATTGGATGATGATCTATACCACGTAAAAAGTGATTCTATTGGCTCATGTCACTATTGCCACTTAAGTGCAATGCATTCAGTGTGTACATGTGCGTCGGATGTTTTGTTGGCCACGATCCAAAATCTTACGTATGTTGGATATATAACAGTATTTCTTCCGTTTCATACACAGTGACACACTTTGTTTCACATGTACATATACATATATATATACATACACATATGTGTATGTATATATATGTATATATATGTATATATATGTATATATGTATATGTATATATATATGTATATGTATATGTATATATGTATATATATATACACATATATTTAAACGCGATCTGTATATGCATATATATAAATATCAATATCAATACACGTATACACTACATATGTATGTATATTATAGGTATCTCTCTATATTTGTATATATATATAATAGACATACGTATATGTTCCAGGTCCTGGGCCCCCCCTTCCACCTCTACCCATGGTCATGGTATCCCCCACAAACCTCCCTGTGGTGGTAGTATATGCAGTGAGTTCATGGTATTCGCCCTCCCATCTGTGCTGTGGGTTGGGGTGGGAGGAGTGCATATTCTGTATAGCGAGCAGAGCTGGCGCATCCAAATAAGTATTGTATGTGTTCTAGGGTCGTATGTATATAGTATTTAGGTAGTGTTTTTCTGTTTGCAATAGTTTTTTTTTAATATATGGGTAGTATAATATACAGGCGGTATATAGGTAGCAAGTATGGAAAGTGGGTATAATATTATAGGTAGCAAGTATATGGAGTATGTAGGTAGTGTATGTGTGGATGTATACATATATATATATATATTAGTAATATATATATATATACACATACATGTATATACCCTAAGACTCCATGTCTTCCCCAGGGGAAACCTTTTCGAAGTACATTATCTGCATGGTTTTGGGGCATTTTGGAGCGGCTAATTTCATAATTCCTCACAATACCCCTGGTCAAATCCACCCATCAACATTTGTTGTCGGTATCCCTGGCTTATCAAGGCGAATTCTAGGCAACATCCCAGGATCCTTAGGGATAGATAGAGAGAGAGAGAGAGCTGGGGGGGTACCATATATATATATATATATTTATCACTAGTAATTATGGGGTATCTATATAGGTAGTGTATTTGGGGGGTGGGGGAACATGCAGCATAGCCGTCATAGATGAGTAGGATAGAGGTAGTATATAGGTTGCATATTGGTAGTTTATAGGTACGCTATTGGTCATATATTTGTAGAAAAGAAGTAAATAGGCAATATGTTGAAAGTATGCATGCAGTACATAGGTAGTAACTAGGTATTTTGTATGAAGTATATGGCTCTCAAATGCTGCAAGTAGGTTGCAAGTGGAAGTTTGGGGATCTGAAATGCTGCAAATAGCATGCAAATGGGCGACTTGTTCAGGGGAATGGAGGGTACCCATTGAGGAGGGGGCCACAGGACCGGGAACATTCATACATGTATTTATGTATGTATGTATGTACGTACGTACGTATGTATGTATGTATGCATGTTTGTATGTATGCATGTTTGTATGTTTGCATGTTTGCATGTTTGTATGTGTGTATGTTTGTATGTTTGCCTGTTTGCATGTTTGCATGTTTGCATGTTTGCATGTGCGCATGTGCGCATGTGCGCATGTGCGCATGTCTGTATGTCTGTATGTCTGTATGTCTGTCTGTCTGTCTGTATGTATGTATTTATGTATGTACGTACGTACGTACGTATGTATGTATGTCTCTGTGTGTATGTGTGTGTATGTATGTGTGTGTATGTATGTGTGTGTGTATGTATGTATGTATGTATGTATGTATGTGTATATGTGTGTGTGTATGTATGTGTGTGTATGTATGTGTGTGTGTATGTATGTGTGTATGTGTGTATGTGTGTATGTATGTATGTATGCATGCATGCATGCATGTATGCATGTATGGATGTATGTATGTGGGTATTTATGTATGTATGTATGTATGTACGTATGTATGTATGAGTGTATGTATGTATGTATGTATGTATGTAGGTATTAGGTATGCAGGTATGTAGGTATGTAGGTATGTAGGTATTAGGTATGTAGGTATGTAGGTATGTAGGTATGTAGGTATGTAGGTATGTAGGTATGGATGTATTCATGTATTCATGTATTCATGTATGCATGTTTGCATGTTTGCATGTTTGTATGTTTGTATGTTTGTATGTGTGTATGTGGGTATGTGTGTGTGTTTGTATATTTGTGTGTGTTTGTGTGTTGGTATGGTATGGTATGGTATGGTATGGTATGGTATGGTATGGTTTGAATGAGCGAAGGCACGAACGAACAAATGATTGAATGATTGATTGATTGATTGAATGAATGAATGAACGAATCAATGAATAAATGTAAAATATATATATATATTGTATATGTACAAACATAAATAAATAAATACATGTATATATATATACACGTATCTACAAAGCAACGCACATGAATATGCATATATATATTCTCTTCATTACATATACATATACATATACATATATATATATAATTGTATTTGTATCTTCATTCAGTTGTTGCTCTATTTGCCACACTTTCACCCCCGGAACGCGTCCCGCAACCGCGACCAGTGACTGCGATGCAGAGCGCAATAACACCCATGAAGCGATGGAACAAGTCTTGGGCTCTGTGGCTTCACCAGAATATTTTGGTGCATGGGGAGCATCAATCCAACTATGTAGAAACCAAATGGTGTATCCCCAATAGCTGGATGGTTTCATGAAAAATCCACAACAACAATGGATGGGAAACCTCCAAGGCTGATTGAAATATGCTGAAAGCACCTCCAAGGGGTGCATATGCTGGGAATGACATTGTGAAGATGTTGACAGGACACATGGGTCATTAAATCTAGAGCATGGAACGTTGGTACTTGTCTGTCATCATTGAGAGTGTCGTTTGTACTGCCTACGGAGAGATAATGCCACATTTAACAGACAGTTCCAGTGGATTGCTGAGCATTGGGGGCTTGCCACACCCAGATTTCGGCAATTTGCGATCTGCACGGCTTGCGGGCACTTCGTTTGAAGGGTGAAGACACGATCCCTGGATCAAACTGTTGCTTGCCCTGCGCTGTTGACCTGAATTTGACCTTCCATGTTTACACGTCCCATGCATGTTGAACTTCACCAACACACGTTACATGCTCATGAAAAAATCATATATGCACAATCACAACACTTTTATTTGTTCGGACTACACTAAGAATAGTTGATTTCAACAGCAAGTGACTGGGAACTACATATTCTACATACATCTCCAATCATCTAATGTCAATGTCGCACTTCACCTCTGGTGTTTCGAACTTAGAAATGGTTCCAAATTCTGCCCCAACAATATGGATGCGTAACAATCAAATACCAAACACTCATCAAATTTTTGTGGTCCCATTTGGAGCGAGACCCATTTAAGCAAATGGGCAATGATCAGGGTCGTCCGAGCTAATCCTAAACATGCCCATTTATGTCCGGAAATATACCATCGACCTGATTTCAAGAATTCACTAGAAAACGAGGCAAAACTTTTTGGTACTTCCCCTGCGTACTATAAACATACCCTCTCGTAGTCAAACATGGCAACGGACAATTAATAAATGATAGTTTTCATCGAACTGTCCATTTCGTCCAGGGTCTTCCCAGCCATGTTTGATGACACCACAGGGTATCATGACATTATATCCCAATGATTATTCCATTACTATTCCTATAAAGCCATATAGATACCATATAGATACCATATAGATACCATATAAATCCATAGAAATCTCTAAAATCTCTACAAATTCCACACAAAAATCCAAGGACGTCCAAGGAGACGTCCCTTAACGTCACGCCAAGGGGCTCGTTCTCTGCTGAGGTCTTGTCTCGCTTCCTACGACGGTTCAGCTCCTGGCTTGCTGATACGTTATCTTTAATGAGGGTTTCTTGAAACCCACAATGATGATACGTTACCGTTAATATAGTGTTTTTCAAAATCATGATGTACACACACATATATATATACATATGTATACATACATATGTATATATATATACAACATATCAATAATGATAATGATCGTTTGGGGTTTTGTAAATCTATAGTCATGTTGGATAATTAATTATATGTTAATATGGTGATTTTCAAAAATGTGTATAGTATTAAGATAGTATCCATATGGTAAATGATCAATGGTTTTTCACTGTGAAATCCATAATGATGGAGAATATATCCATGCACGGATTTTTAAGTGATTTTCATATTTCCATATATCCATATTTCATGTAAAAGATCTTCCATCGCATAAACAGTGATATGATATATGATATGCTAACCTGGTGATTTTCATATATACATATAATATCATATAATATCCATATAGTGATTGTTCATCGATGCATGGATGATTCATACTATATGGATAACCACCGCATAGACAATTACCAGCACATATCCACGTTACAATTGAATCTTGTTCGGATAAGTACTATCACTATATATCGTTACGTATCATGACATTGTTGTACCATCTGGTTATTTAACATAGCCATGAAAAATGACCCATTTATAGATGGTTTACCGTTCTTGAAAATGGTGATTTTCCATGGCTATGTAACAAATAACCAGATGGTAGTATAAAAACAATATTGAATAATTTGAAGAATACCGTAATTATAATACCATTGGATTGCCTCGAGGGAAAGCCTGCAGGGGATCCTATATTTGGGGTGTGACAACAATGGTGCATGCGTTTCCCTCAAACCAATGCATTGACTATATCTATATATATATACTTATATAGTATCAGTCAATACATCATCACTACTTTATATGAATTTATGAATATATATATACATAAATGTAGGAACCAGTAAACCTTTCATTATATTTTAGGGACAATAGTGCTTGTATTGTAAACATGTAAGAACAGGATTGATCTGGGGCTGAAGGTACACATAGACTCGCGGGTGCATCCCAAGTAGTGCAACAAGTGTGCGGCATCCATGTACAACTAGGGAATATCCACATGCATATCCACAGAATAGAACATCCCCTGAAGAATTATACATATATGTATATTTAGGTTGAATATATAACGTGTACACATATGTTATATATATATATATATATGTATACATACATATATATATATATATATACATATATTTATATATACCGTATACACATATGGATTGCATATAGGTTCCCAAACCAGAAATCTTTCGCAGCCCCATGGCTGCACTAGGCGCGCCCCTGGTCCTCCAATTCTTCCCGCGCTTCTGCTGCCAGTGCATTGGCCTGAAGGTCTGGGAACCTTGGGATGACATACTCAGGATTGAATTGTGGTGGATATGGTAAGACATAGATATCATAATTGCGAGACATATCTGACATATGCTTAGATATATCATGGTATATATGGTAGATCAAGATATACGGTTAGATACATTAGGATGTAACAACTATCATAATCCAAATTATTGTCATCTATAGTTGAAATATATGATGGATATAAAGTATACACATCTATGAAACATGTTTTGCAAATTGTGGTGGGGTATCTTGTAATACAGTATCTACAATTTATCAATATTATTCAAAGGTATATCAAACCCCAACAGGGTGCAGGCAAGGTTCAATTTACATCATTTTGCTACGAGCTGCTCGGAATGTAATTTAGTAGTGTAAACAACAAAATAAATACTTGATCAATAGATATTGCGATATATCTAGTATTGGATACTGTAATATCTATATCTACATATATCTACAACTATCATGTGGTTGGGAAACTCTGATTGGAGCTCCTGAGTTCCTCATTTTTTGGGAACATGGATACCAATAGCTCAGACTAACCACTGGAATTCCCGGAGGGCAACCTTGGGATTTTAGCGGACACAATTCAGATTTAACCCTCAAATTTCTGATGCAAACCAACCTGGGGATATTAAGTAACATACGTAAGCAAATGATACTGGAATTTAGGCAGCATTAGGATTTAACCATCAAACGCTTGGATTCAGCCAATCACTATGGGGATCTTAGCCAATCAAATTGTGACTATGACCTACTGGAAAATGCTCTGGTTGAAGCGAATGGTTTTGAAACCATGGTTTTCACACCCAAATTTGCGGGGTTCCTGTAATTTCTCCATTCACCAAATTCAAGTGTTATCATCCCATTCCTGGACAAACCCGTTCATATTGTTTTTGTAAATGCTAGTAGTACCGCACAAGGCGGTGGCGGAAGTTTCAAAAATAGGAAACCTATAGGAGAGGTGAGTTGTTGTGATGCATGGATGGCAGAGCGAATCCACTGATGAACCGAAAGGTGGTTGGAGTTGTGTTTGTGGAGTGGCTGCAATGGTTGCAGTGGTCACCTCACCACAACTGCTGGAAGTAGTGTGGTGTAGTGCAGCTGTAGTTGTAGTTGTCGTGGAGTTGTAGTTGTAGTGTAGTGTAATTCGTGTGGTGCAGTTGTAGTTGTGGTGTGGTGTAATGAGTGTAGTGCAATGTAATGTAGTGTAGTGAAGAGTGCTGCAGTGTAGTCTAGTCTAGTCTAATCTAGTCTAGTCTAGTTTAGTCGAGTCTAGTCTAGTCTGGTGTGGTGTAGCGTGGGGTAGTGGAGTGTAGCGTAGTGTAGTGCAGTGCAGTGTAGTGTAGCGTAGTGTAAAATTGTAGTTTTGCGTGGTGTAGTGTAATGTAATTAGTGTAGTGTACTGTTATTAGTGTAGTGTAGCGTAATTTAGTTGTAGTTGTAGTTGTAGTTGTAGTTGTAGTGCAGTGTAGTGAAGTGAAGTGGAGTGTAGTGTAGTGTAATTAGTGTAGTGTAGCGTAATGTACTTGTAGTTGTGGTTGTACTTGTAGTTAGTGTAGTGTAGCGGAGTGGAGCGTAGTGTAATGTAATGTAATTAGCGTAATATAGTGTGGTGTAATGTAGTTGTAGATGAAACTGCTACAAAACCCTCACATTTCGCTCACTTTTGACAAGGTGCACAATCCCTCGCGCCTGCCACACGAAATGACATCTGAACGACATGTGGTGCTTCTAATATGTTGACTTCGAAATATGCTTCGCGCCACAACGGCGTGCGCTTTTTTGACATCTCAACTCCCAAAAGTGCTCCGAAGCTGGTGTTTTGCACATTTTGACTTGGAAAGGTGCTTCGCGCCACGACAGCGTGCACTTTTTCGACATCTCAGCCTCCAAAAATGCTCCGAACATGAGGTGTTTTGTACATTTGACTTCGAAATGTGCTTCGCGCCACAACAGCGTGCACTTTTTCGACATGTCAACTTGCTCCGAACATGAGGTGCTTTGTACATTTTGACTTCGACATGTGCTTCGGGCCACAACGGCGTGCAATTTTTCATCTCTCATCTGGCCAGATGGCTCCGCACCTGCCGCTTTAGCGAGCCTACTTTTCGACCCTCCGGGGCCACAAATCATTGGGAAAACACAGTGTTTCGCGACTTTGCTACCTTTTCGCGCACCTGCATCTTCTTTCCTCTCACTCTTTCTCTTCTCAAATCTTCTCTCTTCTGCTCTTCTCTTCTCTGGCTCTTCCCACCTCTGCTTTTCCATCCGTCCATATTGTCGGAAGTTTGACTTCTAAACTTCCTTCGATCATTAAATATCCCATATTCCATCCAAATAAATTCTCTCATATCATGGTCTATCCCTGTTTCGGATGGTAAAAAACAGTTGCTGGTTAATCACCAGGGTCAGAACCCAAAGTTTGAGCATATCCCGTGATATCTCATAATATCCCGACTCGTTCATAGTTAGCTCATGTTAAATCCCTATTGTTGCTCGGTCAGTGACATGTTTCTTGGCAAAATGTAATGCTATTTTTACTGGGGGAAGTCTCTAGTTTTCATAGTAATATGGCTTTGTGTATACCCATCCAATGGCCATTGAATATCATTTAATAGGGAAATTCATGTAATAAACCGTCAAATTTGGGGGGTACCCCATTTCCATATAATCCCTTCCCCCTAATATTAATGGTTTAGTAGGGAAATTCCACATCATTGGGACCATTTATGGGGTGGTTAATATTACCCATAGGATCCATGTATGGTATATATGCCAACATTTGGGGTATATTGATGGTAAATGTAACCATATATAGCGTATAGCATAGATGGATCCTATGGGTTAGGATGATGGGATTAGTAAACCCACTTCACGACGTCCGCGATCCGCCTTGGAACCCACTTCGTCCACGCGGAGCTCCAAACTCTCAACGCTTTGGGAGGCGCGCAGCATGAAGGTTTTCACCTGCGAAAAGAACAACGGGAACAACAGGGACATACAAATTACTCTACTTCGTGTGATCCCCACCATGACATGTCAGGACGTATATTTGGACATATATTTAGTATATTCTGACATCCTATCTGACATATATTCTAACATATATTCTGGCATATATTCTGGCATATATTCTGGCATTCTATCTGGCATATATCCTGACATTCCACCTGGCATTCTATCTGGCAGTCTATCTGGCATTCTATCTGACATATTTTCTGACATTTCATCTGACATATATTCTGGCATTCTACCTGTCATTTATTCTGACATATATTCTGGCATTCTATCTGACATATATTCTGGCATATATTCTGGCATTCTATCTGGCACTGACATATATTTTGGCATTCTATCTGACATATATTCTGGCATATATGTTGGCATTCTATCTGGCATTATATCTGACATTCTATCTGACATTCTATCTGGCAGTCTATCTGGCATTCTTTCTGGCATTCTTTCTGGCATTCTATCTGGCATTCTATCTGGCATCCTATCTGACATTCTATCTGGCATTCTATCTGGCATTCTATCTGGCAGTCTATCTGACATTCCTACATGAGGTCCGGCAGGGAACACTGGGCGCGGATACTCGCGGTTGAGGTCCGGCAGGGAACACTGGGCGCGGATGGTCGTGGTTGAGGTCCGGCAGGGAACACTGGGCGTGGATGGTCGTGGTTGAGGTCCGGCAGGGAACACTGGGCGTGGATGGTCGTGGTTGAGGTCCGGCAGGGAACACTGGGCGTGGGTGGTCGTGGTTGAGGTCCGGCAGAGAACACTGTGGATCGCGGGTCGCAGTTGAGCAAGGACGACAAGGATGACAAGGAGGACGAGGAGGAGGAGGACGAGGCAGGAGGAGGCGGAGGAGGAGGAGGAGGAGCAGGAGGAGGAGGAGGAGCAGGAGGAGCAGGAGGAGGAGGCAACTGACATAAAATCTAACAACCCTCACCTGGCAGGTGGGGAAATATATACAAAGAATTAGGGAGAATTGGGAGAATCATTTCATTTGATATACAGTAATCAGAAAACTTATGGAAACGGAAGAGTGTCAGCTTATTAGAATCAAGGAAAAATGTGGATGATTTCAACTTGATATGACTTGAGATATGATGCTTTCCCCAACAAATAGGTACACAACTTGATCACTGACGACTAAGTCCGCTTGACAATGGAGGTGTAACTTGATATTGCTGGCATCATTAATTGAAAGAAGACAGGAGAACGGCGATATGGAATATATATATATAGATAGATAGATAGATAGATAGATAGATAGATAGATAGATAATTATACATTATATATTATATATATTATATATATATTAACAGGTTGTTATATCCTGACTTCACCAACGAACCAACCATTGGGGAAACAACTTGGCATCATAAACAGCAATGTGGCTGTAACCCAGGGGGAAACAATGGCTGCAGGGCATTGTTAAGGCTGGAATGGAGGACTTCGCCAATTATGGAGCTGGCTTTTGCAAAGAACCATCATTAGGATTTCCGGAAAAAACAGCTGATAATGACATCAAACCATCATTAGGGAACAATCATTAGGGAACCAATTACGGATGTAAGCTGTTCAAAGCATAATTTGTGCAAGCGAGGATTTCACTACAGATTTGACCAACAGAAATGGACAGTTTACTGACAACTAATCATAGGTCGGCCTGTCACTAATGTTGGAGTGCCTGATATTCAGGACCATGTCAAGATATGTTAACATGTCTTTGGACATTTGTGCACCGAATATCTCCAACATGTTGCCCCTCATAAACCTCCCAACATCATCCCTGATTCGAGTAGCAAAAATTGAGTCCCCCGTCCCCACTTGCATTTATGTGGATAATCTATAATCAAACCAGGTCATGACATACATGTTGTCCACCAAATTCTGCACCATCTACGAGGTTTTAATTGTTTGAGGTTGTGGTTGGCAAAAACATCCTTCTATGACCCAAATATGTGTGGCAACATGTGTGGGTGAAATCCATTGGTTGGTTCAATCCCATTTTTTGTTGATCCAAGCCTCAGTTCCGATGACTAAACCAGTTTTGTTTCAAGTTAAACTAGACGAACTTCCCACTTTTGCTGCTTCAATCCGCGAGAGTTTGCACGTTGTGACGCCGCACCTCTTCCCGTAGTTCCGAAGACCTTTCCAGTTCAGCCTGGTGATGCGGGCGATGCTGGCGATGGGGGTTGGAAACTTCCTTTAAACATTGACAGTTCTCAGGGTCTATATGATCTACATTATCTAACTAGTAATAATACTAATAATATGTAATTAGTAATAATACTAACAATACACACAGACCCCGAGGTTTGCCCAAGCCCACAATAGCGCAAATAGCAGGGAATTCAGTACAACGTCAAACAACAGGAAGGATTTTATGTTCAATTATGTTGCTAGGGTGTTAACCAGAATATGTTGCTTCTACATATCATACAACCAGAACATGTCGCTTCTACATATCGTATGGAATTAACCATACAGTAATTAGGGTTTTTTTAGGGTTTCAAGAAGATATTAAAGTCCCCCGGCCCCATGGAACAATTGACCATACGGTCGTTAGGGTTTCTTATAGGGTTTCAAGAAGATATTAAATCCCCCGGTCCCATGGAACAATTAACCATATATATATATATATATTTACATTAGGGTTTCTTATAGGGTTTCAAGCAGATATCAAAATCATCATCATTGTCATCATCATTGTCATCATCATTGTCATCATCATGATCACCATCTCATCATCATCATCATCATCGTCATCATCGTCATCATTGTCATCATCGTCATCTTGGCTTGCCCGGACGCTCGTTGCGAGTCCGGGCAAACTTCATGGGTCTTGCCGTAATGATAGCACTGATAATAATAAGAATATAAGATAATATAAGTACCATTTCTAGATACGTTACCATACAGTTGGTTGTGATTGGGGATGACTGGGGTTCCAAGTGGAGATGGAGCTGAGAAGCAGCGATATCATTTCTTGGGGAAATGAACCTTCATGATAAAACCAGGACACGAGGATTTTGATCCCTAGTCAAATACAAGTTGCGTAAATCGGATAAACAAAAAAAAACTACTTTAAAGCGGTAATGCTTGCAAGTGCCTTTAACCAACAACCAACAACCAACAACCAACTTGCATGAGTGGTGAGTAATGGTCAATCACTTTTGTTGGAAGCACAACTCAGGTACCTCAGAGCCTCACGCCTTCGTTTTTGAAAATGAACTGATGATGGGATTGGTTTGAATGACCTTTTCAGCAAACCCCGCTGCAGAACATAATATCAGTCATCGACTCCTTCTTTGAGATAGCCACGTGACACACAACCATTACTATAGGATACTATAGGGGAGGCAAGGCACAAATCGATGGTCGATTGTTAAAAGGAAACCCTGAGCCCCATGATTATTCACAACTTTTTCAAACCACCTGAGGCGGCTGGACCTTTCTTCTCAATAAATTGGGGCGTTTGTGCTGTATACTCACAATAGGTGAATCATGTGAAATCATGGATATGTAGATAACGAATATACCGGTCTCTGTCACTGGTACGCCCCACTTTTTAGCGGTCATCGTCATATTTCCTCGCATGAGTGGAGGCACACATAGCGCCATCACAAAGGACGAGTGATTTGGACATGGATCAAATTCAAAGCCGCGCAGAAGGCAGGATAACTTCTGACTGACAACAAGACGAAATGCCAACATTGACAAAGATGTTCAACACAGGATAGATTGCAGTGGCAAAACGAAAGGCCCTTTATTCTGATTGTGTCCCCAAATCTAGACATTTTCTATCGTGACGTCACAATGATGTCGTAACAAAAGTTATCCTAATCTAAAAAACATTGTGTTGATTAGGTTGCCATTTTACCCCATGTTTGCAAATTGAAGCATTGTGTCTTTCCCGTGAAAATACATCATTAACCAACCATGTGTTCTGCATAGAATCTATTTTACTCCATATTTGATGGTTACCCTCTGGTAAACATTCACAAAACTGTGGAAAATCACCATGTTCAATGGGTAAGTCCTTTATTTCTATGGCCATTTTCAATAGCTTATTGTTAGTTTACCGAAGGGTAAACCTTTGCCCATCAATGAAGGGACACACCACGTCAGCGGGTCGCCTGGTATTCTTCCCTGACCTGCTTCACAAAGCCTTCAGAGGTCGGCTTGGATTAACTACATGTAGATATCTGTATAAATGCACATCTACATGTATGGATGGATGGGTGTATGTTTGTACATATGTTCGTAGTTATATATATATACATATGTTATATATATATATATATATATGTAATATATATATATACATATATATATATGTTACATATATATGTTACATATATATACATATGGTGTATATATATGTGATTCTATGGATGCATGCATGTGCAAGGGCCAACTGATCAGCATGTTATTGGCAATTGGGCAAAAAACAGGGATTCACTGGTGTTGTTCCTACTCATGCATCCATCTGTGCATAAGTTCATCCATGCATGAAGCATCCATGCACACATATGTACACGGCATGGTACAAAATAGCAGAACATGACCTAACATACAGTCGCAGTGTATTATACTAATTACATAATACGACATGACATGGCGTACAGTATGTATACACCGAGAAATTGTCGAACAACATAGATTCCTGTATGTTGTCCGAGATTGTTAAAGAGATTCCAAATTGTGCCCTGGTGACCAGTCGCGGGCAATCATCAAAATGACCAACATATGCTCTTCTATTGTGAGGTATATGTAATGTGACCTTTGGGGGCCCCTAAATGTGCCAGCTAAATGATACATCAACGTCATGGTGTAGGTCAATACCACCAGATGTGAGCAGCCGCGGGTTTGAGCCATTCCCATACTTATTCCATCCAACATGGGCATGGCAAACAATGGTCAAGAAAATAAAGGTTTACCAAAGCAAGAGTCAGATGGGTACACACAAGTGTGTGTGTATATTTACAGTACACACCTGGTGTGATTCTATGAATTCATCCAACTGAAAATACGATCAACCGTGATATTCTGTTTACAACAAAAACAACAAGTCATAAGCCGGCAAACAGTGTATATCAAAAACGAAATCCTCCACAACCAAAAACACATATTATGAACCCAACCATGCTTTCTTGGTTAGCGGGGTTCTCACTTCATCGATTCTGATAATCCAAGATATTGGGTGGTATGATCCTTTACAAAAAAGAACTCATCAATTAAGTACCAGTAGTGCCGCATGAGGCGGTGGCGGAAGTTTCAAAAATAGGAAACCTATAGGAGAGGTTGGTTGTTGTGAATCACGGATGGCAGAGCGAATCCACTGATGGACCGAAAGGTGGTTGGAGCTGTGTTTTTTGGAGTGGCTGCAATGGTTGCAGTGTTCACCTCACCACAACTGTTGGATGCAGTGTGGTGTAGTGCAGTTGTAGCTGTAGCTGTAGCGTAGTGGAGTTGTAGTTGTAAGTTGTAGTTCTAATGTGATGTAATTGGTGTAGTTGCAGTTGAAGTTGCAAGCATATTGCAGTGTATTGTAGTGTACTGTAGTGTTGTGTGCTGTAGTGTGGTATAGTGTAGTGTAGTCTAGCGTAGTGTAGTGTAGTGTAAAGTAGTGTAGCTGTAGTTGTAGTGTATAGTAATTAGTGCAGTGTAGCGTAGTGTAATGTAGTGGTAGTTGCAATTGTAGTTGCAGTTGCAGTTCCAGATGTGGCGTAATGTAATGTAATTAGTGTAGTGTAGTGTTGTGTAATGTAGTGTAGAAGTTGTAGTTGAATGTATATTTGTAGTTGTAGTGTGCTGCAGTGTAATTAGTGTAGTGCAGTGTAATGTAGTGTAGTTGTAATTGTAGTTGTAGATTTGGTGGTGATAGCAGTAGTAGTAGTAGTAGTTGTTGTTGTTGTTGTTGTTGCAGTTGCAGTTGTAGTTGTAGTAGTTGTAGTTGTAGTTGTAGTTGTAATTGTCTGTCTACCTAACCTATCTATCTATCTATCTGTCTGTCTATCTGTCTATCTACAAGCTTGAAAACGAAGCTATTTTGCGAGACTTCCTCAATTTTTGAACTTGACAACGTCAAAAACGAAACAATTCTGCGAGGCGTCCTCAATTTTTGAACTTGACAACATCAAAAACGAAACAATTCTGCGAGACTTCCTCAATTTTCAAAGTTGACCACATCAAAAACGAAGCAATTCTGCAAGACTTCCTTCAAACATGGAAATTTGAGTGCAGGGCTGACGGACTCGTACCAATGCGTTTTGCGATTTTTCCAGTCCATCTGTCTAAACTACTGCGTCTGCCACGAAAAAGTGATACCGGGTCATACGACCTGCTGCACCTGTCACGCAAAATCATCTCAGCAATCAGCAAACCTGAAGATCGGAGGCTCCAAAATGCAACCCCTCTCAGGAAATCAGCGCCCGGACCTCCTAACAGCTCTGACGAGCATGTCTCTTGTACTGCGCCTGCCACGGAAAATGCATCTTTCCAGATCCTCTTCAAATGTCCCACGCCTGCCATCGTTTTTTGAAATGCTACAAAACCCTCACGTCTTGCTCACTATTGACAAGGTCCACAATCCCTCGCGCCGGCCACGCGAAACGACGTCTGAACGTCCAAGTGGTCCGAGCATGTGGTCTTTTTCACATTTTGACTTCGAAATGTGCTCGCGCACGACGGCGTGCACTTTTTCGACATCGTAACTGCCAAAAGTGGTCCGGAGCTGGTGTGCTTTGTACATTTTGACTTCGAAATGTGCTTCGCGCCACAACGGCGTGCACTTTTTAGACATCTCAACTTCCAAAAGTGGTCCGAACGTGAGATGTTTTTAGCTTTTTCACTTGCAAATGTGCTTCGCGCCACAATGGCGTGCACTTTTTCGACATCGTAACTGCCAAAAGTGGTCCGGAGCTGGTGTTCTTTGTGCATTTTGACTTCGAAATGTGCTTCGCGCCACAACGGCGTGCACTTTTTAGACATCTCAACTTCCAAAAGTGGTCCGAACGTGAGATGTTTTTAGCTTTTTCACTTGCAAATGTGCTTCGCGCCACAACGGTGCGCACTTTTTCGACATCTCAACTTCCAAAAGTGCTCCGAACATGAGGTGCTTTGTACATTTTGACTTGGAAATGTGCTTCGCGCCACAACGGCGTGCAATTGTTCATCTCTCATCTGGCCAGCTGGCTCCACACCCGCCGCTTTAGCGAGCCTACTTTTTGACCCTCATTGGAAAAACACACTGTTTCGCGACTTTCCTACCTTTTTGCGCACCTGCATCTTCTTTCTTCTGACTCTTTCTCTTCTCTGATCTTCTCTCTTCTGCTCTTCTCTTCTCTATTCTTCTTCTCCACCTCTGCTTTTCATCTGTCCATATTGTCGGAAGTTTGACTTCTAAACTTCCTTCGATCATCCTATTTGTGTTTTGGTTTTTCAAACACATCCTATATATTCGGGCGGCCACCTGGCAGGGGTTAGACGCCCACATGTCAGTTGATGATGTTATTAACATAGTTTATATGTTTGAAGATATAAGCACAATAATAAGTGACATAAATGACAAACAAATCATATAATTCACTGACCTGATGGGTGTCTCTTTTGGGATAGTTACCCCGATATGATCGAAATGATTTACCATGACGTCGCACTGAGGTCGCTATACAAGATTCACTTATATATCTCGTTCTTTTCATAATATCCCAATTATATGAATATGAATTCCATTATGGTTGAGGAGTGCGAGTAGTAATTCACAATTATCTGGCCGAATTATCACAATTCCCCAACCTGGAAATAGCTGAAACTTCTGGCTATTTGGGCTGGGATGATGTCCATTACTATCATTCCAGTGATGAAAAAATGACGTGATGTCATGAAACAAAAACATCCCATCATCGTATTGACTTGGTTTGACATTTCCTACGACATTATCATATACATTATCATCTTGACTTGGCTGCATCTCCTCTGATATGCCCATCATTGACCCACCATATATACTGGTTGGTGGTTTCAACCCCTCTGAAAAATACTAGTCAGTTAGGATTCCTAGGATGATTATTCACAATATATGGCAATATATCGAAAGTCATAAAAGCCATGTTCCAAACCACCAACCAGTGTGTATATATATATATATATATGTACACCTAGCCTGCACTATTGTCATAGTGATATGATCCCCACACCTAAATTTCCATCTCCCAGGCACTGGCGTTGTGTGATGCCACCGTTTCAGAGGCGGTGCGGAAGTGCTCGCGCACGTCATTCACCACCTTCCGACGACTTGAAAGGACGAGAATCCCAAAAAAGAAGTCATGCCAGGGATATTATTAGCCAAGTTGGTGCTTAGAAATGCTTAGAACTCCACTAACTACGATTTATGATAGATATAGCTGCTATAGCTATAGTTACTTTGGTTTACAATAGTTTACAAACCAACTTATAACTTGGGGGCACCAGCCTCTGGTAAAGGAACATCGACCCTGAAACTCACCTAGTTTTTAGTAGTTTCACGAATCTTCCAACCCCGGGTCTATGCTGATTTACCAGAGGGTATATTTTGGATGATTGAGAAACTATTGGTGGTTTTAACCATCTTGAAAAAT